AATCACGTAAATAAGTTTTTAGAGAAGGACGTGAATGACGCATTTCTGCCGGAAATACTTCTTATGGGAGATCCGCTGTAAACTGTTGCAGGCGGAAATGTTTTCTATCTAATGATTAAATGCCGTAAACCGTCATTGTTCTCGAGAAGTGATCCCGTTTCTTCCAGATGTTTCCCTTACTGGAGTCAGCCATATTAGTAATACTCAGTCATACCATAACTGCCGATGATTCTTGTAGATCAGAATGCCATCAGGTATGTTATGAGAAGATTTCAATTACTATTTGATTATGGCTGAAATTTAGCTGTTTTCAGGATCGAATGCCTCAATGTGGTGTATGGTTGATGAAAGAGACGAATCCCGACGTGGCTGGAACATACGAGGTAAGCACATTTCCTTGGATGGTAATCTGTGCTCAGCTGATACGCCATGTACTTGACTTCCACTAAAATTACCAGACACGTCTATATGTGTTATTTGCGCTCATTCCGTGCACAAAGCACTGCTATTAGCTCGGTATCAATTTGCCGAAATATGTGGGACGATATGACTGTACAGATGGCTGGATTGTGTTGAAAGCACCATTTATGGATGCATTCGTAGAAAAAAAACAGAACGAAATCGCTCCGTTCGCCATCAATCGCCCGATTGGTCTTCTGCACTGGAAGAGCATTGGAAGAGACGCAGCAACGCTCAGTGGGATCGCGCCCCCTAGTGAGGACGACTTCAGATGGTATTGGTCGAGAATACAGTGTATGACCAAAATAGACATAAGTGTCTACCATGTCCTTGTCTACATGGAAATCCGATGCTCCAATCGAAAGGTAGTGCAAATTAAGGAAACGTCGCGCCCATTGCCGCGCGCGACGAAGCGGCAATTTACGATTCTCTTGCCCCTCCCGAAAGTTACAGGGGTTTTGCCACCGCAAGCATGTGCTGCCCTTGTTATACCCTTGAGTTGGCGAAAGAACACCTTGAATGGTTGCAGACTTGCGCTCCTACCGCGCGAATAAGGCCCATCTTCTAGGCGAAAAATGTCTTCTAACGCATGTTGTCCCCATGGAATCTTCTCTACTTCTTTGGTACCCTTGACATTAAAACTTTCCTATCAGACTAGCCGCAGGTTGCCGAAACATTTGAGGTCACAATACTTACAGTTAGATGAGTGGATGGCTTGGGCCAGGCCCAACCAACAGTGCGAACACCGTGCGACTTCTTTTCAACAAGTACATTACTTCTTCCAAGTGAGACTTTCCTACGTCAACGGTTATTTAATGTTCCGTGACCACGTCTAGGGCTTTGAAACCATTAATCGCATTACGGCTGTGATAAAGGACTGATAACTACCGGATGGTTAAGGCTCTACACCCGAATACAAGACCAGTGGTTGAACGCAATGTATGGATTAATTAGATAAAGTCATCTCGTCAATAGGAATGATCTAATTTCCCTGATGTTCCGCATAGCTAGGTGCCTAACAGGTACTTGTTTTTCATGTGAAAGTGCTCAATAATGCCTAGAAATTTTTGTGGTTACAGAAAAAAAAACATAATGATATGATAAGGAGTGTTTGCTTTTCCCGGGACAAAAACGGAAAGCATCGAATTTTTCCTCTTTTTTGCCGAACGACGTCATTGGATGGAAGCCTTCTTCATTTGCCCTTCTTACACAACTGAAACAGAGTGATTTAATGCTCAACGATTCGGTAGATTCTTCTGACTCTGAAGAGCACCAAAAGGTGAAAACGTCTGGTCAAACAAACAATTTCAAACAACATTCTCATTTGTCAGAATTGAAGAAAAATGTAATTCGGCATCATGCCCAGCGTTCAACAAATAAATAAAAATCATCAGATTTCCTAGTGTACAGTCATGATCCCACGCGGACGTGGGCTGTGGCCTGGAACGCAGTTAAGGGCAAAATTGTCACAAGCAGGTTCAGTAAGACGTCATTGTTGGATTAAGGCCGCCCTGGCTTCAACCGCACCGCGTCACACGCCCTATCGTTCGCAAGGATCATCACTGTACTACAACACTGTGGACGCCAAAAGTCTATTCCAAAGCTCTTCCTCTTTCATTATCCCCACCTTCCTTTCCAACTACACTTCTTGAACGCTATAGCGGATATCTGGTACGTAGGCATATTCAAGCGACTACTCAGTTCTTCCAAGCTTTTTCAAAGACAATCTGTACACTCACCTCCGAGGTCGGTTCTTCCCCTTTGGGAGGTGAATGGGTTCGCAGCAGCAGTGGCGTGCCACATTCTTTCTACTCTGTTGTTAATTTTCACAAATGTGTGTTACTTCCCAGCATCTACTACACAGGCATACGGCACAATAATTTGCCGGTCTAGAATAATAGTAGGGTGTTCTATGTAGTGAGGAAAATGGCAAAGAAGTGAAGTAGAAGGAACCTGCAAAAAAGCCTTTGTTCTACATGATTCAGAGAGCGATTTCGGGAGAGTTCTCCATTGGCATCGTGCCAGTAACCGCTACGGTAGATACGGCTGCATGTATGTACTCATATATCCATGCAGCACCGCAGCCGCTTCATATCAATCCCTTCGCTTCATATTGTGCTCCCCAAATACTTCGCAAAGGGATAGAAGCATCAGCATCCCTCGGACATCTTGTGGGCGGGCGGGCATGTGGGCGTCCGGGTCGGTATGTTGCAGCTTGATAGGGCGCTATAAGGGTACCTTCCTTGGAAAAGGCGCCACGCAGCGCCTGCTCAGGGGCACCGAATTCTGTCCTGCTGAGCATATCAGTCCTACACGTCGTGGTGGTTTACCGTGTCACTTGAAGGCACATTCAATGGGTAAGCAAGCAAAACAACAATAGGATGTATGGGTGTGGTCTTATTGAGGAACCACCCCACATGTGCAGCAAATCCACTTCAAAAAAGATTTTATTTGCACTTTCCACGAAACCACGTGACCGTACCAGTGAAAGGCGTCTTATCTGATAACTTTTTTGATGCTTATAGTTAGACGATACGAAAGGTAAACATGAAACAGCTGTCACATGCTGGGGTCGTGGAACCGCTCACATCCGTAACAATCTGTCCGACTAGGTTCTCTGGCAAAGGCCAACTTAGTAATTTTCTTACGAACTAGCGATTTACACACCATCATTGTTACCGAACAGTGAATTGTACTATTGGCAAATCACTGGCATGCGCAAACCACATTTAAGGGCTGAATGAGCGTTTCGAAGTGCACTCCCGTACCAAGGAGATCGAGAGGGCGTGGCTGCGTACTCCATTTGAATGTGGCGGCGACAGCGTTTTTCTTTGATAATGACATTTGTGACAGCTGTCATCCTGTCCTGTGCTTCAGCGACATGATTACGAGAATACGAGAACGGCGATATCCACCGAAACCGCGGTCATGGTCACATCTAAATGAAGTACGTTGCCATGTTTTCCCCATCCCTGAACTAGGAGGGCACTTTGTTGCGAGCACTTTCGAGGCGGTGCACATACAGTCCTCATCATTGCGGACCGGTGGGGCGTAGCAGTGCGGGTGCTGCGTTTGGTGCGATTTGGCAAAGTTGTTCTGCACCAGTTTTTGAAGCGGGCAAGTGCATTACTGTATTATATCCTTCGTACTACTCGTTTTCCACCACTTTTGGTTCGCATACGTGCTGCAACAAAAAAGGCTGAGACGGCTCCAGCAGTGTGCGCGCTCCTTCTGGCTGACACGCCCCACCGGTCCGCAATGATGAGACTGTATACCATTTTCACTTTAAATCACACTTTACCAAGCAAGATTCAGACACTTTTCAAGCCAAATTTCACCACTCTTTGAGGCCGCGTCAGTTACACCCACAGATCACGCCAGACACCACTGCGAACCCTGCCTCGACGGTCACGCCTACTTGTCAGCGCGGACATAGATTTTCAACACATGGCCGACTCCGCCCAGTCTTTAAAGGGTTTGTTGCGAACTTCGAAATTTCATAACTTTTTCAACTTTTTGATTTCACATCCACTCTTTGCACAGCGAAGATACTCGTAACCGCGCATTCATGCTCCAGGCAATTCAGGCTTCGCGACCTTGGCCACGCCCACTTGCTTTACGCGGAATTTTGGTATTTTTTTCAAAATTTTCGCATTTTCGGACTGCTCCACGAAGCCCCGCCTATCGCGAGAGCGTTCGCCCACTTCAAAGAAGCCCCGCCCACCTTTCAAAAATGGCGCAGATCGGCAGTGTAAGCTTGGCTTGGCATCGGCTAGGTCTTGTCCGTTCACTCGGAATTAATCAGGCCAAACTTTCGTTCAGTGACGCGACGATGGCCTTAGCATGCAAGCAAGGCTCATATATGCCTCTCTCAGTGGGCGGGGTTCACATAAGCAGTGTAAAGAATGCAAAGATTCCGAAAAAATAAAAATTCCGCGAAAAGCAAGTGCGGGGGGCCCCAACGGGGGCGAAACGCTTGTACAATTGTCGGAGCATGAATGCGCGGTTACGAGTATCTTCGCTGTGCAAAGAGTGGATGTGAAATCAAAAAGTTGAAAAAGTTATGAAATTTCGAAGTTCGCAACAAACCCTTTAAAGACTGGGCGGAGTCGGCCATGTGTTGAAAATCTATGTCCACGCTGACAAGTAGGCGTGACCGTCGAGGCAGGGTTCGCAGTGGTGTCTGGCGTGATCTGGTTGGTGAACTGCCCGGTCTAAGAGTGGTGAATTTGGTTTGAAAAGTGGTGAATTTGCTTTGAAAAGTGGTGAATTTGAAGTGAAAATGGTATATAAGAAGAGTCAGTAGGGGGAATAGGCAGGAGTTGCTCAGTTCGCGGATTTTCTCTTGTATACGCCCCTTCTTGCCCTTCGATGTAGAGTGTAAAATATTTCCAAAGTAGACTACAGTGTTGAGGATCGTGGCATAGGTGGCTCCATTAACCTCACCGATTTCTAGTTAACCATAAGACGAGAACTTGGCATTTTTACGAAGAACTTTCTCGCAACACTACTGTTTTCAGCTGAATCATGGCCTTGTGAATATGTCCTGCGAGTTCTCGTCGTTACCAGAACCAGCAACGGTGACATGGCTCCACAAGGCGCCAAATTCGATCAGTTGGGTCGACTTTGCTTGCTCTAATAAGGATGAAACAAAACAATGCAGGTAAATCTCGAACTCTAACTGCAACTCTTTGGTGGAGATGGTGCAGTGACAAATGTCGCCATTTACCGTGCATGCGGAGCAGGGGATCAAACCCTTGATGAACTTCCACCGGCGTATATCAATACCTTCATCCCTCCGATTAGAAACAAAGAAAAACAAACATTGGGAAAGGAATACACTCCAAAGCACAGATGATCCGTTTCGCCCGTTATCGCAGACGAATCATCGATGTCTTACCAACCCCCGGCTCTCCCCCCGGATCTCAGTTATTCGGTAATAAGTCCGTCTGGGAGGAAAACTTAAATTGGTCATTAGGGTAGAGAAATGCAAAGCCGCGAGGAATTTGGTTGTTGGTGCGATTTTCTCGTTATACGTGCACGATATTTTTGCCGAGGCGGAAGTGAATGTAGCGGCAAGTGGCACGCTTACCACGCGCGCGGTCCGAGAGTCAAATTTCGGATCTACTCCAGTCCAGGCCGGCCAAGCCTTCTACCCTCCGGGGACGTAAATTGGTACCAGATTCGTTTGGGAGGATAAGAACACTGACTTGTACATCGGCTGGCCACCGCAAGTCATTGTATAGGCCACATCGCATTCAATAAGCCACTACGATTCTGAATGGAAGTAGAATGCGTGCCGCATCCCACAAAGGGATTGATCAACGGCGAAGACTTTATCCTTTATATATCTCTCGCTCATCACCGGTTGTTTGGCGAGAAACCTAAATAACTTCTGAGAAATTGGTACAAGGTTGGGAGCACCCGGTAGGATGGTTAGGATATGAAAAAGGGGTCGAACTGGAAGAGGAACTCCCATGAGGTTAGGGAGGGGGCCGAACTGACACAGTCATTCCACTCATCCTGATACTTTACACAGGTCCAAAATAGGACGACTACTATTTCCAAAACTAATGAGTTCCTCACTGATTACTGACGAGTAACTGCAACGACAATTCTTTCGAGGGAAACCGAGCATCGAGTCAGATCGAGATGTTTGCTACGGACAAATTCACTTACAATGACCGGCGCCTATCGATGCCAGGCGACCACACCTGAACAGAAAAACAAAGCGATAAGGTAAGCGACTGTTGCTTCTTAGTCTACCCTCACAAGAAATATTTACTGCCTGATTAGAGATTATCGTTCTGATTTTGAGCATAAATCGAGTTTTTTTTTGCAGCTCGGAGTTCAATATCAATGTGGTTGGAATTGAAAAGATTTCAACCATCCATCACCACCTGCCATATGGACAGCTTGGTTTCATAGAAGTAGAGGTGAGTAAAGGCGCTACCGATCACGGAAGCTATTCAGTGAGCATAGCCCTGACCGGTCTTTCATTTTAACCTTGAAATTAGGATTGCTTCGGATATTTTTTTCCATATTGCCGTCCAGACTTTCTCATATCAAAAGTAGAAGTCCGAAGTGAAACGACACAACTTTTCCACCTAACCAATATGCTCTGTTTTCAGGTATGTGCGAATCCGAAACCGGAGATCTTCTGGCTGACTCGCGACGCGATCATTACACCTCATCACGTTCTGGGAAGCTCTCATGTTTCGGTCACGCATCTTCATCCCAAGAAGGTATTCATTTCAAACCCTATTGATACCAGTAACATGATTTGATTAGAATGTTCAATTACTATCCTATGCGTCTGCTGACTTCCCTGGCAGAGCACGCCGGTCGTTGTGGAAAGCACAACGGGGGAGGGGGGGGAGGGTCGTATAGGACCGCGAAGTAAGGGGGGGGGGTATTCAGAACTGGTAAGGGCAGCAATACCCAGATGTCGTACAATCCCTGATTTATTCATGGTTCCTGCTGTGAAGAACATCTGAAGAGACACCTGAAGACAAAGGCAACTGTAAGCTCAAAAGTAGGGAATAAGTGCTGGCAAGTAGAGTGGTAGCCGCCCATGAAGGCGTCATGGTTAATAAACAAACGAAACACAGTACATACTCGGACCTCTCTGTGTAGTAGTCAGTCGCATGCATGGCGCAATACAGATGGGATGTCCGTTGGCACCAAGTGAACTATTTCCCAATAATTTCGACGAAGAGATGTGTTCTGGAAGCTTACTTAAAGGCAAAGCCCGCGATCAGTTGCCATCTTAGATAGTGAATTTGGGCTTCGCATAAAGAGGACAAGGTTCAGAGTAACTCAATAGTGAAGAAAAAGCAGAAAAACATGCCCAATGTCCTAAATAGGACCCCATTACAATCCTGGTTTGTACGTGCATGCGATGGGGAAACAGCGCTTATGGACGAGCGTTCCACGTTATTGGCTCGCTGCCAGAAGTAGGTGTGGCGCCACGTATGAAAGACTGACCTTTAATATTCTTATTTTTTCAGTGAACTCATCGCATCATTATGTTTCTTTGTTCTTTTTGAGTTTGTTTTGCTTTTCAAATTCAAAATGATGCTATTTTCTTCCAACTTTTCGTGCACTTTGCAATACATACTTTTTGCAATACATTTCCAGTTGTACCCCTTTGTGCGCTCAGCTGACCCAATACAACCCTACGTCCGTACAAATAACGAAGGGGCTCAAATGTTCATGCTTTTCTCGTCCGAAAACTTGGTTTCTCACTAAAGGGCGGCGCTTGGGAGGCGGAGTCACTGGAAAAAAGGAGGAACCACTGGATCTATTCTGCCTTATAGCGCCCCTCCCCTGCACTTTTTTCCGCGAAAACGGTACAGGGTTGTTCGTCGCGGACCGCACTACCCTCCCCACACCATATTTTCAACTTCGATACCTGATCGCGGACCGTTTCTTTAAGTCTCCAAACAAACTGGTGATTGTATTGCGAGAGAAATATGGATTTTGTGCGAAGCTTGTAACAACAAAATCACAACGGGATTGTTCAGGTAGTGGGCGTGAGGAAAAGAGTGAGGTGTTTTTTAGAAAGGGGAGATCATATACATCCCAGCACGATTTCTATTCTTACAAGAGGTCGCATTGAAGAAAGTTATGGCTGTTCAGAGCATGGAAACTCATAGGTGACACTAACCATAAAATGTCACAACGAAACAACGGGAAAAGTTTCTCGGAAAAAGGGAGTTCGAATGCGCGCAAGCTTAGTTAGTAAACTGTAAACCTAGTGCTTAACAACTCTGCTCTCCCCTATTCAGAAGCTTCCCTCTCGAGAAAGTTACAAATGTTCAAACAAAGGGTACTTCTGGTATTCCTTTTTTTATTTCGCTACACACATCGCGAAATAGCTCGCGCCACTACAGCCAGAGCACGCTATCGTTATGATGGTCACAACGGGGTTCATATTTGACCGCGAGGGTCGTATTTGGTCTGAGAAATTTTTTTTGATATTACTTTCTCTTGTTTCACGAACCTCTTTAAAAAAACGGGGGGGGGTCGTATTTGGTCGTTGTTGAGAGAGGGACTGCCAAAGATCTACAACTACTATTTCCGATAGTTGAAAATGATAGTTAAATCCTGACGACCTCTCCCCTCCCCCCGCTCGACAGCAAAATTTTGGGGAAAAACCAGAAATTTTTCGGGAAAAAATGGAAAAAGTGGTAGGAAGTAGGGGTTTAGAAAAGTGGTAGGTAGCATGGGGAGCATGGGGATGGGGTCGTATTTGAGAATAGAATCAGGGGGAGGGTGTTTTCAGGAATTGATCACAACGCGATGGCGTACCCTGGCTACAACAGTGAAAAGGCGTTTCGAAGCTCGCGCGCAATCTCTGAATGTGCGCGAACAATTCGAATTCAAGTATGTAAATCAAAATCATCTGATTTTTCTGTCTTTTTTTTTCTCGAGGGGAAGGGGCTCGTAACGAAGCTGCTTTTTGAGATAACTCATTTTCAGCAGAAATTTACCACAACGCGATGGCGTGCTGCTATACTCCCTGGGTCGAAGCGAGTAAACATGCCTTCGACCGGAGGTTGATCGGTGGGAATCAGACAGTCTGTCTTGCCAGGGTCCCACTCCACTGACGGTAACTCGAGACATCAATTCAAGCGCTACTCCAGTGTGAGCATTTTGATAGAGACGCATTAGACATTTGATAATGCAAGAAAAGATTATGACCAAGATGGTATAAATACTTTCTAGGCCAAGTGAGGAGCTCCGGCGTGGGTGAACAAATTCTTTTGTCATGGTCTTAAGCGCTGAGTGCTCTGCCTTGAAAGCAGAGTCCGCGACTTACCAACGTGCAGAAGCCCGGCGCTGTCCGCAACCACAAAGGATATCCCACTTTCTCTGCTCGGAATGGCGCGATAAGAGTGTCAGGGCTCTGTCAAGCTTAGTCGTCTCCGCCCCTCAGTTTATGATCTCCACCCTTATCGTTACGTTCCACCATCGTTGTATAGCGGTGAAGTCCCGATTATTTTTACAGTCCCTCGCCATTTCGTTATCTATTTCTCTTTTCCAAGCGTACTGTCTAATTACCGTAAGTTCGTATTATGGTTGGAACCGGTAGATCCTTTGTTTAGAGGGTTTGCGCTGATTCTTTATGCTTTACTCTTCAGCTTGTTAGTTACATTGCTTATCGCAGCATCGGGTGGAGGCGTGCTACGTCCAAGCCTTCTGGTTCGGCGCAGCTTTCCTCTTCAATGGATGTCGATCCGATAGTGGCAAAAGATTGATGGAAAAATGCTGGCGCCGCGACTAAACGACGCCCACAGGAACGCCTCCACTGGATGCAACGATGGTGTCTACTTGCGATCAGCTTCCGTATTTGAATCCCAATTACCACCCCTAGCATCCGCGACTTCTGCTTTCATTGGAACACCGCCGATTTTTTTTTCTAATCCTCTTGTTTGGAGATCAATTACGTCTCATAGCTAGTGGCACATCTTGTGAAATTGCATTTCAGGTACGGCTACATAGGGATGGTCCTGCCATGGTTGTCCCGTACTGCTACACGTCGCGACTATTAATTCGAAATGTCACTGAGTCAGAAGAATTCCAATTGCTAGTGAAAGGAGAGACTGAGTCACGAACTGTAAAATTACCCATAAAAATCATTAATGTTCCAAACCTGGCCGCTTACCACTTTCCTCTTGTGTTAGGTTTTGTTCTCATAATGATATCTAGGCAATTGTAAATATGCCATTTGACATAGCTCAGCCGATCCTCTTCTCATTTTTGTATTTTGCCCACTCCTATGTGATATCAGAGTTTATGCCTCATTGTTTTTAGTTGCACTGTTGATATTTATCGTTTGCTGTTCAATACTTCATTGCAAAAATAGCTAGGTCCACCAGGGCAAAGCATTTAGTAATTATTTGCCCATAAAATTATCTGAAGTGACCTGATACGTGCTAGGGTAGTGAACACTGCAAGAGCGACGCGCTGCCTATGCCTAATTGTAAGCTATGTTCATACAATTGCGATGGAAGAATAGAATAGGCGAGTCGAAGGTTTAGGAATGGCCGCCGAAGCACATTATATTCATCGAACCAGCGACTCGAGAGAGGAATATTATATTAGGTTGTTGCATAAGTTCTTTCCCCCGACTTTTTTGTAAATATCTCAATAGCGAACCAGCCTGAAGATTAGAGGTATGCACCATCACCATCCACTACTCGACGCCAACGCTCAGGCAGCTTGTCGATTCCATCGTCCCAGAAGGACGGGGGCTGGGACCCGAAGAAGGCCACAATGCCGCACAATCACCACTGTGACATGGTTTTGCACTGGTAATTGTGCGGCATTGTAGCCTGCAAATGCAGGGTGGGTGAGTGATAGCTAGTGTGATGAAAGAGTATCATGTACGTGTCACGCACACATGGTGACGGAATACCAACCTCCATGCAAACAAAATACGGAAGGATCAAAACAAGGGGGAAAAACTTATGCAACAACCTAATACAATTGGCGATCCGTCGCTTTCAATGAACGCACTGTCGAAAACGTCGAATCGCCCGTGCTCCTGTTTTACGTCATTAGGTATGAACGCAGTAGAAGGCGCTGTGCCCAGCAGTAAATAGTAAGCCCGCTAAAATCGGAGGGGGAGAGAGGAGCGCAACGGATGCGTATTCCATTGCCCGCTACTCTCTTACACTTATCTCTCTGCTCCGGTCAGAACGCACGACTCACAACCCACCAGCGCGCTCTCGCAACGCATGGCCCCCATACTGTTCTCAGGCTATAAGACTCTCCCCCTCGAGCCTTTTTTTTGGGGGAGGGGTGTGGGGGGTCGCGAAATCTTGAAAACCAGCAAAAATGGGAGACATGAGTCATCTTGGTCAATGTCTGGTCATTTTTCCAGTTTTTGCGACCCTCCCAAAACGCACCAACGTCACTATACTACCATTTAACGGCTTGGCGTAGACTATGAACAGGAGCTAAGAGATGACTGAATTAATACCGAACGCGATGTTGCTCAGCGTGCTATATCTGCTGCAAAAAGATAAAAAGCCGAACAAACGGTCCCCACCCGAAATTTACAACGATTACTGCTTGTCTGAGCTCATAAAAACTGTGTTTTGTCTTCTGGTTTCCGCCAAAGGGATTCTTCAAAGCAGTGCGTAAAACGGGATGATGACTTCCACAACATCTAGGCGTCTTCGTAAATATTGAGCTCACCCACGAATATACTTTGTGAAACAATAACAAGGAGAATGTCAACAATCATTTATAAAAAATAACAAAAACGTATATAATCAACCAAACACACGGGATTACTTGGCCTTCTTTGCTCGGATCTTACGGAGGTAGAACTCCAACTCCTTACCCTCGAGGATGTAACCGTCGGCACGACCGACCTGTCCAGGGCTTGAGGAAATTCGAGCTGTAATACTGAGCGTACAGAAAAAAAAATCTGGAAGTGGGTCCAAACAAACTCACCAAGAAGTCTTCCAGTAGCGAACTGCTCCAAGAGGAGAGGGTCGACAGCAGCACTCTTTTGACGTTCCGTGTATTTAGCCTGGCAGCTCGCTGACCTAAACGAACCCACAGAAGTGCTTCCTCAAAGTCTGCAGAAGCTGTAGGTGCAACTTACCTCTTCTTGTTTATCACAGCGTTATCTTGAGCGGAAAGCTCCTGATTCTTCTTTCTGGCGAGAGGCAATGCGTAGTGAGCTTCATACCACTGACGGAATGGGGCAGCATCGATTGTGATGACAGTGCCTTTCACTAGCGTCTTTGTTCGCACCAACTCGTTGTTTGTAGAATTATACACGGTGTCGATGATACGAGTTTTACGAGTGGTTTCTGAAAATATGAATACATCAGAAATACAACTAATAAAAATTAAAACGTCCAATTACTTAAGCCTCTTTCTGAAACGTTAACAAAATAGGAGCACACACGAAACCAGAATCGAAGTTACAACTTCTAATATTTAGTCAGGCTATATAATTATCACAACTTACTTTCGGAAGCCCAGGAGTAATTACCGGCATCTAAACGAAGTGCACGAATCTTTGTGATCTCCTCGCACGCGAATAACACGAATCCTCTTTGCTCCGATCTAAATCAAAAGCATCAGTAAAGCTGCTAATGTTTTGAACACATGAAAAAGCAAAACAAAAAAGCAACCTTAGTGTTAGCAGGCTGACGGCCGAGCTCGTACTTTCTCTTCTTGTGAGGAACTGGGCGAGTGGCTCCAGTCTTATAGCGCTTATGCCATGAATCGCGCGAGATACCCATTCTAGAACAAATACAGATGAAATGGAGTAAGAGAAGAGTACGGAACACCACACGACATTTATCAAAGCTAAAATGCACGCCAAAATTTTAGGCTAGCCACGACCAGCGGAAACGGTAGGATACGCAGCATTTCCACGTCCATTACACGATACATGACGCGCTACTTGTTCTGGCGCCCTTGCAATGGTTACGAAAAACGTGGTCAAATCTGTTTGTTTCTTCTTTATTTGTTGCTTTTTGGCAGAAAAAGTAGTGATATGGTCACTCAATTCAGTTCTGATGTCATGTGAAAGCAGATAAAATAGTAGTCAATAACCGCGATACGAGTGCTCCAGTAAGTTCCCAAGGAAACGGCTACACAGCAATAGG